CACCTTATTTAACAAATCGGCTCAAATCCTTGGCTTCGTGGATGACTTAGACATAATGGGAAGAAGCTCTGACATCTATGAAAGAAGCATTTCTCGCAATATAGGAAGCGATACAAACAGTGGGTCTAACAACAAATGAGTCAAAAACCAAATATATGAGAGCAGGGTGGGTAGCATTAGATTGGCAGAGTGTTCACATGAATATCGGTGACTTTAAGTTTGAGTGAATGAACGAAATTTATTTATTTGGGCTCTCAGGTGAACTCCCACAATAATATGCACCAAGAAATTAATGGACGGTTAATGGCTGCAAGCTGATGCAATTTCGAGCTCCTGAATCATATAAAAAGTAGATGTCTTTCGAGGATCACCAAGGTGCAGCTTTATAAGACCCTCATAAGGCCTGTTCTGATATGTGCTTTTTTGGACCATCTCTCATGCTCAAGAACAGATGTGGATACTTAAAAAAATCATTGGGGCAGTGTTCAACGATAATGTTAACCGATGAAGAACTGATTTCGATATAGAAAGAATGTATAATAATACAAATGTCATCAGATTCATAAGGACTGGAAAACTTTGTTGGGCAGGCCATGTTGCTCGAATTATGAATGATGAGGTCCCAAAAAAACTTTTGGAAGAAAGGATATATGACAAGAAGAGAAGAGTTGGAAGTCCGAGACTCCAATGGGCCGATGGAGTGGCAGAGGATGTATGGTCTATTTTAGGAGTAAGAAACTGGAGGGCACATATATTTGCCAAATTTTATCACAATGGTGAAAAAGATATTCCACATGGAGGATTTATTTTCTTTTAGGAACTAACAAATACATAAATAAATAAACATAAATTAAACAATATTTTTCATAAATATTTATGAAATATATGACATAGTTTTCCTCAGTACTTACTTGTAGAAATAAGATTGATTATATGATCCATTACTAGTGAAACATCCGTGAACACACTTATAGTGAAAATATCAGTCTTTGTATCTTCAGCAAAATATTAAAAAATTTATTTTACTCCATTCACCAAGAAAAGAAATTTAACATGTGTAAAAAGAAAAAAGGTATTAATAAGATTTCAAGTTGTGAGAATTCTCAATGGAACATATATACATATTCATAGCAAATAGATATATAAAAGAACATAAAAACTTCTCATTACAGCCCTAAAAAAAAACACTGAGGGTTTATTTGCCCTGCAGCGGAGGCTTTATGGTTTTATACATGAGCCAGCATGAAAAAAACAAATGATAAAAAAAAGATAATAATAATAATTAGTATTAAACAAGCAAGGGCCTGGTAAATTTCAAAGACTAAAATAAATAATTAAATAAAGAAAATATTTTCAAAGAAAAACGTCTTGTGATTCTTCAAGTAAATTTTATCTATCATCTCATCTTAACTTTGGCTTAAGAATAATAAGATATCTAATTTCACAACTCAGTAATGCTTCAGACTTAGATAGCAAAGATGAGTTCTTTGTTTTTGATAATCTTTGGTTTTATATAATATTATTTTATTTTTATTAAAGTAACCAAAACATATCTACTGATTTAAAAATTTCAAGCATAAGTGTAATTGTTCATTCTGTATTTAATGCATTTCGGAATTCATGTAGATTAAAGGAAAATTAGATCACTTGAGAATTAAAAAAAAATAGAAAAACAGAATTCTAATAAACAGAATTAGAAAAATCGAAGATCATATCTAAATACATTTGCCTTGATATCATTAGGGAGATCCAGGATTTGATTTTGGAGGGGGGAGGAGGCTTCAGCCCAAAAGATTTTTTTTTTCATATACATATAACGATAATTAATTTGAAAAAAAAAAGAAAGAAATTAACTACCTATATGAAATGGTGTTTAAGTGGTTCTTGAAGTCCTATTAAATGTAATTAAACAAACAAGAATACTTTAAGAGATAGTTTTAAATATTTTTTTCTGTAAAACATGATTATATTTTATCATTTTGGGTGGGGAGGGGGGGAGCTTCAGCCCAAAAGTCTTCCCCATTGATCTGCCTGTGGTTGATATGGTCCATGTTCTCCCCTTGTTTCCTGCTTCGAAACTTTTCATTCCAAAAAATAATAATCCTGTCGAAATGTGCCCTCTAAAAATTTTGATGGCACAACTTACGCCATGAAACCCCTTTCTGGGCTCCCCCGGGTTGTGTTCGGTGGCTATTTGTGTCTAATATTCAATTTCATCTTTAAATGTTTCAAAAAATTATTTAAATATATTTATTATAAAAAGTATATCTTTATATCCTCAGTAAACGTTATTATAATTTAAAACATTTTGCAATATTTCATAATATAAAGCTTTTGAAGGGGGACTTTACTTTTAAAACGCGGTATTTCGTGCGAAATTATTGTAAGGAGCGGTTTCCACTTGCAATTTTGAGTTTCAAATTAAGAACTTGTTACTTTATATTCAAATACTCAAACTTGTGACTAAACAATCTAAATGAAGTATTTTTTAAACAAAGTTATATCATATTCTATCATTAAGAGTTGGTCTATCGATTAATCATAAAATAGGATGAACGTTAGAGGCCTCGAGATTTTGCAGTCCTAAAAATTACTTCATGAGCGTCCCACCCCTTTTCTCAAAATAAATATGTAATATAGGATGAGAAAATTAATCTGTGAAGAATATTCTATATTACTTTATGGTTGGATTTTATTCCATTGTGCTGCGTTTAGACATTTCTCTAACTATAGAAAACACAATTATCTAATTTTTCTTTTATTTCTATTGTTACCGACAGCAGATGAAAAAGAATAGCGTAAGGAAAAAACATTTAAATATTTTTGTTTGCCACAGTTTGTGGAATGCCTAAACCACCTTTACGTGTCTGTAAACAGGCTAAAAAAAAATGTATTTATTCCATAATTTATTATATTTATAAATTCCCGATTGGTGACCGGTGACGGACGCACCTCCAAATAGAGAGGAAAACTACTCCAATTCTAGCACCGAATACCGCGTATTTTAATCATTATTAGAATTCACTATTTTAATCTGTAGCTGATTTAGGATTATTTTTTGGGGGGAGAGAGGGGGGGTTATTTTTTTGTGGCGGCAATTTTAAATATATAATTTTTTATAACGGTAATTTTAATTTTACTCTGGAAGAAAAGAAGGAAACAACATATAGTATAAATGCCCAGAGACGACTGAATCAATCTCAAAAAGTAGTCCTAGTAATATTGTATTAATTTTATTTTTTTCAAATACTTCCTTAAAATTAATAATAGATCTATTTCAAAGCAGTTATAGAACAATAAAAATGCTTGCTGAAAAAGGTTGGTAAGTGGATCTCTTCTCTGTTTTTTTTTTTTTTTTTTTTTAGACATTTGCAATACAAATTATTACTAGAACGTGCTTTGCAATAGTTTAACGATTGCACATCCGTTATCTACTTGAAACACGAATATTGGAGCTAATTATTTTAACAGTTCGCTGATTTGGTGATTTTCCTTTTGTTGAGTTTTCGGCAATATATTTTTTTTCATTTATTCCTGTTTGATAAATCATTAGTTCCACTGATTTAGAACATTCGTTCATAATTTTTTTTTTGGATAATCATTAAAGTTGTGAATTGAGTACATTCCAAATATAAAATTTAAAATTCGATAAACTCAGATTGAAACCAGACGTTTTTCCTTTCATTACTGTTGTTGAAACAGATGCCTAATTACAACTATTTTGCATATCTACAACTGCTGTTCAAATAGGATCCATAAATACTCATGTAACATTAAATGTCAATGTTTTAAGTTTAAAAAAAAAATAACAAATCCGTCTTAATAAAAAATACCATTTTCTAAATAAACTCATGTCAAAAACGCAGATGATTGCACATGATAAATGCAATATAATCCTTCAAAAGTAGTAATTTTCTAATAAAGCAATCAGCTAGCTAACAAATATCGAATAAATCAAAGATGATTATTTAAAGAAACTGGTAGGATAGAAAGCTTTATCACATATGAGAAACAGTTAAATGATTGAAAGTGGTCCAAGTCCTCTAGTTCATCATCTAAAAGTTCTTTAGTTGAAATATTGAATACCTAATATTTTGATTTCAATACAATTTGTTTTCTTAAAGTTATATTCTGGCCTATGCACGGGCGGATGTACGAGGGGAGCTTTCGGGCTGAAGTCCCTCTCCCCCTCAAAATGGTAAAATATAACCATGTCTTATGGAAAAAATATTTAATAATACTTAAAAAATCACTTAAACTCTATTTCATAAAGGTAGTTAGTTTCTTTCTTTTTCTTCCTGAGTAATTATCGTTATATATTTTTAAAAAAAAATCTTTCGGGCTGAAGCCTCTCACAAAACTAAATCCTGGATCCGCTAGTGGGCCCAAGTACCTTTTTCTTTATTAGCTTAGTATAACTTTTACCTATATCAGAGACTAAACAATTTTTAACAATTTAAACTGGAATTAGCTCAGTTTTTCATAATTTGTCCAATTACACCACTTTTAAACCACTGCTGGGAGGGGGGGGGGGTCTATGACATATTTTTAATAACACCTTCTCCTCAGTTTCTGAATCAATTTATTAATAACTTTTAACATCATAAAAATACTAAGGACATTTTTTTTTTTAGCCGGAAAAATCATAAACTGTTTATGATCAATTCTAATCGATGATAACAAATATATGATCTTTTCTTTAGAAAAAGTTTTGATAAACATTCTGAAGACATTTTAAATGAAACGAAGTTTTTATTCAAGCTATATTGAAAGCAAATTTCTTTACTGATGCAGATACAAAATATTGGTATCGACTTTTCGTCCCTCAACACCTTTATCGTATAAACAAACAGAAGGAATGGCCTGTTATCAGAGTTATCGTAGCGGTTAGAGCTTTAGTGTTCTGAGGTGTACTCGAGGGATAATATGATCTAACATGGTGATTAGTCACTCCCTGAGGATATTGGTGTGTAGTTTTTTGTTTTTTTGCATAACTCATTATGTCAATGGATAAGACCCTAGGTCTAAAGAGGTTGAAAAAGAAAACCATCAAAAGCATTGCTCTGGCTGTTATTATTTTGAGTTTGATCCTAGTTGTCTATCAGTTAGTTCTTGTCAAGATGATTGAAGAGTACAGTAGGAAAAGCATCTTCGATCATGATACCTTGAAGGTGGAAAAGTTTTTGAGTCCTTCGCAGAGCGAAAGAGGATTCATATGTCATTCCTCTGGTGTGATGATTTCTATTTCAAAATTAAATGATGATTATTGTGATTGCCCTGATGGAAGTGATGAACCACAGACCGATGCCTGCCCGAACAGTGAGTTTCAGTGTCACGACCGACAACATTTAGGTATTGTTATGATTTCATGCATAAAAAATAAAGAATTTTATTCTTTAATTCCTTTTGATGTTTTAATTGTTGATATTGTTTGCAGTGAGAATCCCATCAGGTCGAGTGAACGATGGGATTTGTGATTGCTGTGATGGATCCGATGAATGGAAGAGAGAATCTTCTATTAAACAAAGTAGTAAGTTATAAAAAACTTTTTTATACTAGTTTTGAATTCCTACTGCAAGAGGATGGGCGCGCGTTCTCAAGAACAATTTGAGCACACTGTCTGTGGTAGTGACGGTTCTTAAAGTAGCTAAGTATTGAAAATTATTTTCACATACAATACAAAATTAGCTACCATTTTACAACTGAAAATAAATGAGTACTGACAACCTGTCCACATAATTAACATCCTCTTAATTAATTCATCTCGTCCAGAACCTCTCTATTGGACCTTTTCATTTAAATTTGGGGCCTTAATTATATTGTTGTTTTTAACTTACACTTGTTCAAAATGGATAAACAATCCTCTGACAGGTCCTTTTTAGTTGAGGTTTGTGCCTTTCCTGATAGTTTGATCTCCTCAGTCTACTTTTGGACATATTCGACCATTTCCTTTATAGTTTGATCATGAGATCTTGTACACTTCTATCAATGTGGAGCAATGCTTGTAATGTAGTACCCAAAAGGGTCCTGGTGGCATATTTTTTCCTGGAAAGGAATTTACTCAGGAATAACTAAAAAATGATTTTTCCCCTTTTTTTTATAATGGTGGAAATGCAATTTAGAATACGGATAAATGTGTTTAATATATACATTTAATTTTAATTGCAGCAGTGCTTCAATTTAACCACTATTATCTTAGATTGTTTTTAATTATCTAAAAGAGAACAGAATACCTTGATTATTGTAGATCGAAAAGATAAGAATTAAGTTTTATATTTTTCAATTTTGACTTTTATTATCAATATCTTTTCACAGTAATATTAAGTGTGAAATGATAAGAATTATGTTTATTTTGATATTTGTATTCTTTGAAAAAGAAAAAGTTTTGACGAACAGCTGACAAAATATTTCAGTTAGTCGTTTCACAATGTTATTCTTTTTCTTCTTCTATGGCACTATAACTCCTGTAAAGTCAGGGCCTCCTGCAGCTTCAACTGCGGTCTTCAATCATGCATTCACTTCAAGGATACCTCGGGTGTCTGTTTTACTCCATCAACCCATCTAAGTTTTGGTCTACCTGGAGTAACGTATATGATCTAAAAGTATCCGGTGAACGTTTCCAGTCCATCTTAATCTACCAATCCTTATTATTCTCACATTGGTATCTTGATATAGGTCCTGCAACTCATTGTTTGTTCACATTCGCTATTCCTACTTGTTATTGAGTACTGGGCCGAATATTCTTTTTAGAATGCGACATTCAAATCGGAAAAGAAGCTTCATGGGTTCTTGTCACTATCCAACACTCTGAACCATATGTTAATACTGGCCTAATTAGGGTTTTGTATAATCCTTTTATTAATAGAAATAAAAAGTGAATGCCATTGGGGCTTAAACTCATCTAACCCAACTTCTGTGCTCAAACTGATCTTGAAACCAGCCACCGTTTTGGAGTAGTGATTCTGAATCTTTTGTTTTTTATATGAAATGATCAAATTATTTTATTGAAATAAATATTTACTTTTGCAGTTGAAGTTCAGAAAAAGACTGGAGTGTTTCATAGTCCATGCCCAAACACATGCTCTAAGTGATTATTTGACATTGTATTGATTGGTTCAATGTCGAACTAAAGGGTTTTAGTGTTTTAACAGGTTCCTGGCTGTTAGTTTCAGAAATGACTAGTTTTTTAATAAAATATTATTGTTTTACAATTAATATAAAACTTTAGAAGATTGTTATGTATATAGTTATTGGTATTGTACCTGTCATTAAAAAGTCATTTATTAATATAATTATATACACTAAGTATACTTTTACTTGTATTACTCATTATCAATTGTTGTATGCAGTTTCGTCTATCCCCGCTGGAGTAGTTAAATTAATTATTTTGATTAATGTTTCAAACTTGATTTACCCTATACAGAAACCAATGTCATAATTGATAATTGCTTCTTGAGACTGCGAAGAGAGTTCAACAATAATTTTATATCAGCATTATATCAGGACCAATTCCTAATTCAGAAAATTTATTTTTTTTCAGTTGTTTTCTTTTAAGTTTGCTAAAATAATATACAACTTTTATTGACACTTTATTATTAAGCAGTAAAAAATTTGTTATATTGTTTTTGGTTTTAATCTACGTAAGAGATGTATCCTTTTTTATTTATCATTAAATATCTTAAGGTTATCTTTTTCCTTTGACAAGGATCCCTGATTAGTAAGGCATGAAATTTAACTGTAAAGGACCTATTTGGGGGTGCTTAACTCAGAGCCAGTGGAAATTGATAGTTGTTATATAAATAAAGCACTAATAAATTTGATAAACACTTAGAAATCAAAGAAAAATAATGAATGAAGAAGACTCTGATTATCATGATATATCAGGTTATAACCGAGAATAAAACATCTGGGTTCCACTTAGTAAATAAGTAAATAAAGTATTTTGAGAGAACTTGAAATGCAGTCAATGTCAGAGATAAATAGTCTCTATCTATTAACTCATTTTAATTTATTATCTATCCAATAGGCATCAGTGACTCTTTGGCCTATCGTTAAAATAGTGTTTTCTGTCCTTCCTTAATAAGTTCCATTGTCCTTTCTGAGAGATGAGATTGGATTATAACAAAAAAAAAAAAAAAAAAAAGAAAAAAGGCTAGTGAAACAGACATTAGGGGCTGGAGTTAAGATTTTTGCCAGGAGGGGCAAGCGTTATTTTGCCACCTCTTCTTTCACCTTGCACCACCCCCGATATCATCATTCCATAACATTAACTCATTGTATTGACCGAATTAAGGTCAAAGCAACCAAAAAGCAAAAGCAGATACTTTTTACTTCAGCTAAACATTAATTTTCCTTGAAATTTGCTGCCCGGGACAAATTACCCCTCCCCCTAGTTTTGTACTTTGGAATATCTCTTGAAGAACATGGACAATCCCAGGCCATCTTACTTGGCTGAAAACAGTTACGTTCAATTTTTATTTTCTGTTCCACCTTCAAATTTAAACCTGTTAATTTCTGTTCTAATGCTATTTATCTCAATGAGTTTGAAAATAAATTGTATTGGTTTATTTTTAAATAGACTTATCAAAGCATAGTTTTTCCGTCTGTGTTCTGATGAATTAATTGCATTTCTTCATTGTTTAAGAGTTCTTGAACATAATTATATTTTTGATTTGGATTTTCTTAGTAATTCTTAAACATCTGTATATCTCATGACTGTTGTGGTTGTGAAATTTCATGTTTAAAATTCTCATTTCTTAATATTAATGATTGTCTTTTATAAAATTCTTCCTGAGTGATTTTAGATGCAATATTTACTTATTTTTTAAATTTATAAAAAAATTATTATAGATTATATATTAATTCTGTTAATGTAAATCGCAGCTTACTGAATATATGTTCCCATCACATGGCTATTTGTTGGTTGATGTTTAGTGTTGATTAAGAAATAATTTGAGATCAAATTTTTGTTAAAATTAAGGTTGCATTTGGAGAAGTAATAATTTTGTTAATGACAGGTTTTTAGACAAAATTTGGTACAACTTATAGTTGAAATAAACCATAGGTGTTGATGTCCTCAGGGTTTTACCTCTATAAACAATAAAAAATCAATAAAATTCTTTAAAAATAATAATAATAATTCATTTCATGTATTCCTCAGTTTTTAAATGTACTACACCAGTGAAATGCATCTGATGAAAATCTTGATTCTATTATAGAAATTATTTTAATGAAAAATCGAATGCAGTGATTTGCATTTTTAAAATTCTTTTGGAGACAGGAATCTTATTTGAAATTATTACGATATTTTTACTAATGTAACACTTAGGAAAAAAATTTAACCAATAACCTTGTGAACTGAGCTTATCCGAGAAGTTACGTTTTAAGCAGGAGAAACCTACTTCATACTTTAGACAGCTACTTAGTCAAATATACCATCTTGCACTTTATTTTAAACATTTTAATTTGTTATACATTCTCTGCCTGCACTAAAAGTCCCTACATTAAATTCTTTGTTAATTGTAGTAAAGAATAAGTTTATTTTTTCCCCTTCTCTGAGAACTCTATAGGAGGATCATGTATAAGATTTCATGCCAGAAGGCATATTATCTTTACACTAAAGTTTTTAGTTTTTACTTTTTGTGAAAATATTAGTTAGTTATGAAAATTATTCAAAAAGAAGTAAATATTAAAAACACTAAAGATAAGGTTAGTTTAACGATTAGTAGAAGGTCACATGAATTGGGAAAACCTGTAAACCTACGTCTGCAGTTCTGGGAATGATAAAGGAAAGTATTGATGTGGTGATCTCATTCCTGCCTCGGGTATACTTCTAGTTACCTAACCAATCTCCAATCTTTGCTGATAATTTTTCTTTGAATGACCTACCTATCATGTTTTTAGATAATGTGAGAAATAGGAATGAAGGATGCTGTTGACCAAAAGATTTTATTTCTTAAATCTCAAAGTAACTCAAAATAGAAAAAGAATAACGTACCTATGTTAGACTGTATTTTAAATTAGAAGTCAAATCGGCTCAATATTTTTGTGCTAATGAAAAGTTCAAAACATTCTATTTTTTTGTTTAATGCAAAATCACCCAGAAGTGTTTTGTATATGTTAAGAACATTTAAACAGAATCTCATTTTTAGTTTTTAGCTCATGTGCTAGGCTTCAATTTAAAATTTTCCTTTATTGTAAAGCTTTGGTTTGGAGTTGAGAGGATTGCTAATTAGTGTAATTGTAAAAGCAGAAAAATCGATAAGATTGTTTTTATTAAGATTCGATGATTTCATTTTATCAAGAATCAATATCAAATGTTAACTCGATATCACATGTAATTAATTAATGTTTTAAGATTATTATTATTAAAAAATAGTGTGATTAACAAAAACCTATAACTTTCTTTCAAATATATTTATTTAAGTTATTCAACCTTAACTTGACCCAATTACTACTTAACAACTAGTAATATATTGATATATTTTAGTATGTTGTTTAATATTCGTGTGTTGTATATTGTATTTTATTCATACTTATGTTGATCATAAGTACACACATGTAAAATATTCCTTCGTCAGCATTCCTAATGACAGACCATTTATTTGATGATATTGTGCAACTTTAAAAGTGTAATAGTTAGATATTAATATTATTTTTGACAAATGTTGGTTTCCCGATTATCTTGACGTAGCTCCATATTTTTTCTTATTTTTAACTATTACCTGACTGGTTTTAGGGCTCACAGGGAGTCTCTTGTCAACTACTTTGGCATTTGTGGTTGTGCTGCTTCGCATTAACTTGCTTTAATCTCTTACAATATCAATTTCTTTCATAATTTTTTCTTTTCCTTGATTTCTTGATCCTGCATTGATAACCGAATCTGGTTCATTTAAGATCACTAAAAAAGCTAAATAAAACATGTTCCCAAAACCCTTGCTGTAATGAATACTGAAGACAAGCATACATCATCATCATGCAACGTTACTTGAATGGGCCATTCCAAGAGCGTTCCTGACATCAAATGACAAGCCACACATTGATTAAAAATTTTCTCTTAAATGCAAATTGCCGCACTCATCTAAGTTATAATTAATCATTAATATTATGAGCTATTTATTTTTATATATTTTACTATAACATATAATGACTGATAAAATATTTTATTATATTTGTTGATTATAAACATAATTGTATGGAAAAAAAACCATTAGTTTTCTTGGGTTTTCTGTATGGTTTAGTTATTTTTTAATGATATTAGCCTTATTTTATTGATGTTGATTTCAAAATAAAAATAATTTAAAACAAATGGTCTAGTTAATTCTATTCCCTGAAAATATGCAAAAGAATAGCATTGAAAAAAAAAGTGTTATCAATGTATCATAATCAGAAGTAGATGACGAAGCTTAACAATGGTGCTCTGATTATAAATAACATGCTTCCATTCGCCCTTTAGAGTTAATTTTCTTCATTAATATAATATAGATATATATTGTTAAGTTTGTCGAACAAGCTTTTGTGCATTTTTGTGATATTAGCCTGGGCCTCTTATTCTATTATCTTAAGATCAGGCAGTAATAAGCCCAATAATATGATAAAGAGAAAGTGGTACTCGGTGACATAAACCCTGGGAACAATCGTGCTATGGCATACAGGAAAAAAATAAAATAATAAACCATTTTGTAAAAAAAAAATGGCAACAAAAATTTTAAACTACAGAAGGAATAAAGATGAATAAAAGAGATTATTAAAATAAAACTGTTTATTGCCCGATTATTATATTTACATAATTAAACAAATATATATTTCTTTAAATACTTGTTCTACACAATAAATATAATATATAAAAAAATATGGTAAAAAGGAGAAGATTATTTAACTAAATGGTAAGTACAATGAAGCGACTTATATCTTATTTCAATGGAAGATACATAACAGATAACAGCATGGCAAAACAAAAAGTATTTACATTACAGTTTTTTTAATTATTAAATACAATTTGCTGTGACTAGAAAGTTAATATTAAAAAGAGTCAAGATTTGGGTCACTCTCAAATCTAGTTACTTTAGGTGCATTTTCAGATTGCCCCTGCCATTGACAAAAATAATTAAATAAACCAACAGTTCCAATTGTTGATGTTGTTGCAGCCACGTTCTAAACCTCAACCTCAACCTCGATTAACTTACATGACATATATCATTTGTTCGCTAGCACAGGCTTAACAATATTGAGTAAAACTGCAACTTGTTTATTCAATTTTTAATTTTTTTTTTATGTAACGATTTATTTTGAGAAGGCAATATATACTTTCTAGCCGGGCATGACCATTCCTCGAGGATACGCGCTCATTATTAAGTGACACCCTCGCTGAAGTTAAACGCAGCATCGATGACGTCGAAATGGATGCTTAGGCTGGGAATACTGTTTTCAAAATGGACCATCCGTTTCACCGGAGAACCCAACTTCCTTAACCAATCAGAGAATGCCTTTTCTTCCTTCCTGATCCATGGCCTTCTGTCATCACAGATCTGGTAAGGCGTGACATGAACGTGGACCCTAATTCCTGCAATAAATAACAATGTTATACAAATTATGTCAGAAAAAATCTTATATCTAAAAATAAATAGTCTCCTGGTGACATGTTTGCAACCATACCATGATGGTTCATAGGGAAAAAAATATTGTCGCCTCATTTTCAAGCGATAGACGGAACATACTGTAAAAACAAAATTACAATGAATTAATTTATATTTGAATTTTAAAAATAAAAATCATTAAAAGAAAATTTATTATTTCTTTTATATATAAAATTAAACTCATTTTAAATGGAAACCACCCAAGCAATATGGAAGAGTTGAAAAGCATCAGTAGAATACATATCTCCATGATGATTATCAAATATTAATTAATTATTATTTTTTTTATTATTATTAGAAATTCACGAGAATAGATATAAAATCTTATGTCATAGATTTAAGTTGCCAGTGTAAAATGGTTAAGGCTAAATTACCTAAATAACTTCACAAAGCGGAAGAAACTACACCAAGTATGTAATCAACAAATCGAGCTTCATGAAAGAGAGACATACATATTTCAGATCTAAATAAAGAAGAATCCGACATTAAAGAAAAAAACATTTATTATAAGAAAAAAACAATAACAGTTCATAACTGTCAATACTTCCAATAACATCCGGAGGATAATAAATGGTCTTAGATCCAAACAAAGAGAAATCAACATGTGATAATACAACCTTAAATATTAAAAATGGGGACTAACGCTTATTGAAAATAAATACGAGTATTTAAATTTGCTTTTGTTATCCACACCTAAACAAATAAAACTTAATATAATACTAATAGGAACTCACATTCACTGCAAGGTATGACATAAAAAACTAAAAATTGTAAAGTAAATAAAAAATCGTTCCATAGAGCAACTTAGATATGTTTTAAAGCGTAATCTAATCACTACTTAAATTTTAGTAGTTTTATTTTAATATTATTTTATACAGAAGAAGTGAACTGATTTTTTTCTAGAGTAATTTTGTGAAGAATTTCTTCCAGAGTTTTCTAGTCGATTTATTAGAAAAATGTTTACAAAATATCTGTCAATATTCTAAGTTCCTTATTCATTTTAAAGAAAAATTCTTTATCAACCAGCTTCTTCAATCATTATTTTTTAATTACATTTTCACAGTTTACTATCATATGAAAGATCATAAAAAACTCTATTTAGTAGGTCTGTAAATCAATATATTTATTTCATTATATCTCGCATGGAGAGCATGACACTCCTATTTCATTACATCAGCAGAGTGGTGAGGAACCTAAAACGTCAGGAGATATGAAATGAAAAAGGAGATTATGAAAAGTTTTCTAACATGAAAGGATAAGGAAATCAGAAAGTTTATATCAGCTAAGCTACAAATTAATAAAACTGCTACCCATAACCTCAACTTGCTTACCTAATCGAGCAAGAGTTCCCAAGAGACCCTTTGATGTGATCCAAGTGTTCTTGCCACCAGAGTGACCCCCGTCCAACCAGTACATGTCAGTGATCCGGGCGACGAGAGGGGAGAGAGACTCGTCGTCCGGCGTGAGGGTCTTCAGGTAGTGGAACTCGTAGAGGAACTGGTTGAGGACGACGCAGCCCTTGCTGAAACCTATCAGCTTCACTTCTCCCTTCTTCAAGTCTCTCTTCTCTTCTTCCTACGAATCATTAAGTGATCAGTTACAATCATTAAGTGATGGTCTAATGTATCATCAGTTGGAGCTCAATATTTGGAAAATACTTATTTGATTACTAAAAAATTATTTTCAACATTAGTTTCTAGTAACATCACGTGAAAAGAAGCAAATTTACAAATTACAGTGGTGGGGATGGAGCTATATCAATACATCATGATGCATAGCTCATAGCGTTGCATTTCCTATACATTTCAGCTAACAACAGCATTTCCAGCTTCAAAACTTCAACCAAAGAAACATCTTTTGTTGTTTTTCTCTCTCAATCAAAATATTTTGTGCTTGTATATATTAATAATGGTATAATATTAAAGCATCTATGTAATTTTAGTCCACTTACTGTGTTTTTAATTGATAAATAAGGTCGAAATTCACAGCAATTTAGAATTTCCCCTCCATCAAAATGTACTGTACTAAATGAATTTTTGTAATAAATTGACGAAATGTTCATTTTGAACACTTCCTCCAGATGATTTTTGAGAAACATGTTTCTCTATTTTATTTTATTTATTTTATTTTTTTTGTATAAAGTCGGTAACCATTACTAAAAGTCTAGAACATGTTCAGTTTTCAGAAACGGAGATATGGTTCATTGTTAAAGTTATAAGAATGAAAAATACTCAGGAAATCCAGTCAATAATGGTGTTATTAATTATGACGACGTTTTTATAAAAGTGTGTGGTATGTGATCAGGATAATGGTTTGCAGTGAAGACAACAAGTGCTAGTTGTTGTTTTGAATGCAAACTATTGCCCCCATCTGCTTGGGTCAAAACATCAGCATACTTGATAAAGATCATTATTGACTGCATTTCCTGATTATTTTTCACCCTTCTGTTCAGTTTTCAGTTTTTTGCCTCCAAATGTTGAACTGTACTTAGAATTATATATCCTTCTGGGAAATAGATACTGCTACCTCCATCTAGTACAGTTAATGTCTCCCAGCCATTAAGTACAAATAAAAAAAATAATTAGAAGAGTTGGGAAACCACGAGAAATAACATCAAATACTGAAAACACTATTATTCTATGTAAAGTCATGAAATGATGAGAAATTACTCACATCCTTTTCTTTAAGGTTGGTGGCGATGCTTTGGAGAAGTCGTTCCAAGTGGTGTAATGCGTAGTGCATTGGGGTATGTTCTGGGGCTCCGGTATTGTTAGAAGGCACAAAATTATCATAGCAGGCGAACACTTTGAATTCCATTCTGCAAAAATATGTTTATAAAATAATATATTAAATTGAACATTCATCAATTGCAAAAATCTTAAACTACCAATAAACGCTGTATAATATTTCATTAAGAATGATTTTGTGGGTAATAGTACGATAAAATGATTAGCAAATCTACAAAAAATAATTTTGGGGAAAATATCAGAAAATAAACATAAATGAAGGCTAAATAATTATTAATTAAATATTATATATGATTAAATAACAAATTTTGTTATTTCTAAGGAAAAATAAAAACTATAAATAAAGTGATCACAAAGAAACAGAACAAGAGTTAAATTGAGGGGCCTTGGAAGCTAAGTAATTCATTGTTAGCTATACCTAGCCACTTCAACTTATCAATTAGTTTTGTAAGCGATTTAAACATGACTACATTATGTGTATGAGGCACTAGATTATTTTAATTAATTTCATTACAAAACACATATAACAATGATCTTATTGTATAATGTGAAATGCCAGTTTTTGGAGTAACATAGACAGAAATATAGGACTCATCGATTTGCCCAAATACAGTCCGCTGCCGCTGCATTATCTATTAGGTAAGCTTATACTAAAGTAGAGCAAATTGTTAATAAATAATAGTTCTGAATTAGCAGACCCTCTTGGTAGGCAATTTTGAAAACATCACTACAAATGGTCCGAGTAAGGAGTAAGTTCTAGATAGAAAATTCTCCATAGGAAAATTTAAAATTTTTAAATGTATAGGTAAATGAACATAGGTATCATAAAAATTTAACCAAATAAAATTCTTGAATTTTTAAAATTGATTTTGTGAAATTTCTAACCTCATGTGATGAATTATTTTGTCGACACAAACAAAATTTTGGATCATAACTCCCCTAACTTATGCTTATCAACTAATTATTTTATCTTCATATTGGTTTATGGAAACTTTTATCATGCTAAATAATACAAAAAAATTTACAATTTTTGAAAATATTTAATTGTAAATCCTATCTATGCAAGTTCTACGTTACATAGTATGAATTTACACACTGTCACAGTGTTCAAAGATGAGGCTAGAAAATAAATATTACCAATAGATTAAGCCAAATAGAACTCTGCAATATAAAAAGTAAAAATGATTGCAAAAACGAAACAAAACAATACTCTAAATTAGCAGGCTGTATTGGTATGGTTATCTTAGAATTTTAGTTTGTAATCGAAACCTTTTGCAACAGAGAAGGTTGGCGACAATCCAGAGAATGGATCTGCTGTGAGCAATCACATCTTATAAAACCGTTGCTCACGAGGCGATGTAGATCTTAGCGGGACGAATATCTCTTCATCTCATCCTGTGACAAGAGAAGAAAAAGCATGCTTTTAAGAAAAAAAGGCTCTGCTGGATATTCCAGAAAATCTCCGAGGAATAACCGTGACACAAGCAACTAAATAGAAAAGAACAAACAATAAAGGAGGACATCATCAACTACTCAGGAAGGTCCTGCCCTGAGAAAACACTTTCCTAACATTAACGCTTAGAACCCAAACGGGCCCTCCCTCACTATTGGATGTCACAATTCCTCACGGGACAGAGACGATTTCTTACCAAGCTCCATACCTAAAAGAACAATATGAACTCTGCTATGTTCTGGTAATGAAGATATCGAAACTACTGGACAGGTCATCAGGCATTAAGGGATAATGGACACTAAATATTTGATCCACAGAGGACAATTTCCCACATCGAGTCAGTAAGTACAACTACCCGTACTACAAAGCTTTCATGTACAAGTTGAAGGAAATAATGGGGAGAAACCATTTTAATCTCCTTTAATAAAAAGGAAATATTAGGAGGGGGTGAAAGAATGCTGCATAAAAATTAAAAGCAGCTTAAAAATGGGTAGAGATAGCAAGATTTACTTCTTCCAAAATCCTATTGCCGAGAAGCAAGGTAAAAGGAAAATAAATTTATAATTGTAAATAAAAATAGGAGGAAAATTTAAAAATGAACTATCTAAAACATTTAGAAATTTCACAAAATTATCATTTTTTTTTTTTTAACAATTGACATTTTGTAAACAAAATCAGAATGAAGCTCATCCTCAGATATTTTGAATACTGATTACAAAATGAAAAATCTCATAGATAGAACAGTAATCATCATACCTCATTAACAATTTTTTTTTCACCAGACAAATTCCTGAAATGGGTGACTTTTCAGGATTTTATTTGTTTGCCAAACCCAAGGTTTTATGAAAAGGAAATTGAAATCTAAAACATTTGATAAAATTTCGAAGAAGTGATAATTTGTGACAATAATCAATTTTTATTTTACTATCTGATGTTACTCCTAAAGACAGACAAATCACGAGACAAAAACAAATATTTTGAAATAGAAGAGAAGCGTAATTTGACTACATTGAATATCTGAATTATAATATAATCTAACTACTAAACTAATAGCATAAAACCCAACCGTTCTTTAGGCTCACATTAAAATAAAAAGTCGAACCAAATATAAAAAATCAGTTTGTAATCCAGAAAAAGTGCAACTTAAATTTTACAGATGTATGTTACCCTTTGGTAAAAAATATACAAGACTGAAGATCAATTAACATAACTTTAAAGATAATTAACAATCACTTAAATAGGAAAAGATTTTAAAAAGTGGAATGATAGCAAATCGTAAGGAAAACACAACAAAAAATTGGATAGCCCCTTGATCAGCTTTTCAAAAAAACAAAAAAAAATATTAATAGCTTAATGAAATATAACTAATAATGACAAACAAATATAAGATTTTGTTAAACTTTATGTAATACACTAAGTTAAATTTCAAAATATACTTAATATCAACACTATCATCAAAGTGTGAGTACATTGTCATTAATTAATTATATAGTACCTTTGAGCGTTTAAGCCCATAGCATGGACATTCAAGGGAAAGCCACTAAGTTTATTTAGTGAATTTTTCTGATAATAAATTTCTACCTAATGAAAAACAACAAACATGGCATTAAATGACAATGATGTTTGCCAGCTAAAAATATATGGTTTGCTAAGTGACTTTTACTAAAATGCCCATAATGTATACTATAAACTATATTATATTATTATATAAACATGTTAACTTATATCTAAACAGTTAATACTTAATCAATAATACTACACTACTAATCACTATCACAAGGAAGCCATAGCTGCTAATATAAAATTGATCCATGATTGTCAAAGCTGAAGATAAATTATGTAACAGCAAGTTAATAAAATATAATTTATTTAACAATTTAATTCAATAATTAGGGACTCTTGACTTTCGATAGCTATCAATTTCAGCTCATTTTTAATATTTAGGTATTAATTTAATTTGACATTAAGATATTAGGAAACAGTCGCACTCGGAAACAATTAGTCGACTGCCTCTGTGTCAGGTTACATCGTAAGAAATTATGAAGACAGTAAACAACATGTGCTGAATAAAATAAAATCTTAGAAACCAGGCAACTCTTTCCTCAGTAATGTCTAATCATAAATAAATGTTATATCAAAATTTCAACTGGTCCTCCTTTAATCAATGACTATTTAAATTAAATGCCATCAACAGATATAAAATTAAACGATGTATGTATGGCTAGACTATTTTTGTGAAATGATTTAAATACAGAGGCGTTTCTGTCAAATAAATTGACATCATTGACATCATATAATTTCCCCAAACAACAATTAATCTAATCTTCTTTTTTAATTACAACAACCTTATTCATGTCATGTTGTTACAAAAGAAAGTGATGTTAGCAATAGTGATAATGCCATGTATCCATTTTACATATAATATTTTACAATCATTACAACAAAATCATTATTGATGTCATATATATCATATAATGTGCAAATACTAAGATTTAAATTTATCCTCCTTAGAAATCTTCAACGAAATATAATCTTGGATTTTAGTATAATTTATTGATTTAATTTAACTAATTAATTGAGCTTTGATGATTTTTCCATATTGTTTTCCTGTTTCAAACTTCATGGTTGGAAACATAGGGAAAAATTATAAACAAATAGAATCACAATAGAATTTGTCAGTCTTATTGATCAAGTCAGATCAAACCCTTAATTAACTATTTTTTAAAAACATAATACTACTTTACTACCTTTATACACATCTGTGGGTGAATCAAAAAATCAATTAATGTGAATCAAATAAGCTGTTCAGAGCTCTTTGAATGTGATGGCTGGTTTACTATCGAGGAAATGGGAACGTTCAATCCATTTTCACTCATCAACTTGGCTTCAGAAAATTTAATACCCAAATGACCTAGTTTTCTAAAGTTGACTGAATGTTGATAACAAGTTAGATATCAGTGAGAGAGACTTCTCAATTGATTTTGATATGAATGGGAGCATTTTTTGAAGTGCAACTAAGCTAACATTTGCACATGAGATGAGAAACAGATCCACTATTGTACATCTGCATCGAAAAAGGCTAGAAATGGGAAGACAAAAAAGAGGATGATACCCTCTACAAAGGAACCGCACGAGATGACCTAACGTATATGTTCCATTCTGGAATTAAAAGGATTGGGAAAAAATTATAGGCTTGCACTGGGAAAAAAGGATAGGCTGGTATCAACCTATAGAATGGCTCTACTCCGGCTCACTGCAGCCAATGAGAACTCACATGAAGTGGTACCGACCCTAAAAGGGAAGGGAAGGAATACTTCTTCATCTTCTTCTGTGAGAAAAGTAACAAAATATACATTCAAAAAAGCAGGCTCCACAGAGCTCCTGGAAAATTTTCAGGTGAGGCTGAGGTCATGATGGCCTCTCTGGCCAGGGAGAGGTTGACTTTTATTTCGTGGCGGACCCACAGTATGAAACTCGACCCTCCTACTCTGTTTAGAATGAGTTTGGTTGTACCTCTAGAACAACCCCTCTCCTCCCTCTCCCCCCATATGCCAGAAATAGTGGGTAGGGGGTTATCCAAGAATTCGGGGAAGAGGACATGATTGAGCATTGGAGACGATGTTGGACAACTACTCAGAAAGGATGTACATTGAGGATGTACTTTCGAACCATACAAAGGAGATTAATGACGAAGTGGGTCCTCTAAGACAATTGAACTTTACAACACCTCATTGCGCATGCAGGATTTCGAGCCAAATTATCAATCTTTGCAAGGATTTAAACCCTTAATGCCCACTATGTAGTGTTATAGTCAGTAACAGAGATCTAGGTTCTCATTGAAAATGAATTTAAGCGAGGAAAATTTCTTAACTGTGCAAACCTTTTTTTTATGCCTGGAAAATGGCAGTGATGCCAACTCAATTTGACCGAAAAAAGGCCCAGTGCCAGGAAGATTGGCGGATCAAGTTCTCCCAACAGAGATGCAATGGTACTAGAAGTCGTGGTCTCGATACAAAGATAATAAGATAGATAAAATTATAAAACAGCAGTGATGCGCTGCATATTTTACCTAAATCCCATACTTGCAATAATTTTATTACTCATTGATTTTCTTCATGAACAAGAAACAGTAAATGAAAGTTTATTATTGCCAGTTGTTATAGCTAGCAAAAGCCGACCACAAAAACAGAAGAAGAGGTAACCTCATTCCCCCCCCCCTTGATGGCGCCTTGCACACTATCCTGATTACAGATGAATTGGAAAAAAAAAAGGCCTCTAAACTCGTGAACTATGAAGATCTTCTTTGTACCGTTAGTACAGGTCTATTCTCATCTGATTACTTTTTGTTTGCGCCATTAAAAGAATCACATGGAAGAGTAAAATTTCAAAGTAACAAAGAAATCGATATGTATCATTTACTGACAACTCGCCCCCAAACTTTTTCGGAACATGGAATATCTGAGCTTCCAAATTGGTAGCTAAAGTATGGTGTTTCCGTAACGTTGATCAATAAATGTATAAAAAAAAATTAATATACAAATTTGATTCACCCACGTAAATAAAAAGTTATTTTAAGTTATAAGTTAACTAAGAGCTAAACATTGGACATACCTTAGATATATCAATTATTTTTTTCTTATTCAGTTTTCAATTATCTTATGATAAAATGAAAAACATATAAGCAGAACAGTGTACTATTATTAAATAAATTCTTAATAAAATCAATTAAATTACATATCCGCCACCGTTACAATGTAATTTTATAGTCGTAAAATCTTTTCATCGGAAGTGATATAATAGACCAAAGAATGTGATTATTTTATAAGTTAATGAACCGGGAAAATTTCTCTGAATAAGCGAAAATAATGAATTTACCTTCTTTGCTCCTGATCTGGCGAAAGAAACTCCATAAACGTTGCAAGCTTATGGGAAGCTAATCTGATTCAAAAAGACAAAGAGTAAGTTCTCTACAAACAACAAGGGGCTATCTCTTAAATAATTAGTAAATAAATGGTAATACATTAATGATACATTTTGGCTCACCTCGAGGGGCGAACTACGACTATGTGCTCATGCTGGAAGTGAGACTGCAGGATCACGGCGGTGTTTTCCAAGTTCCATTTGATGTACTGCTTATTGTCCCGATGGGTTGCCATGTTTTCGGGAAAATCCTGAAAATTAAAGAAAAATCAAAGAATGAATAAAGTTAAATGTTTAAAAATGTGGTGGTGGAGTTTTTTCTCCAATCAAGAGTATGCACTTTATAGAGGCTAGGTGTGCTTATAGATAAGTTTACCAAATCTAGGCTCTTTAACATAATTGATATAACAGAAGTAATAATGTGGTGAAGGTTTTTATCCAATTAAGGCCACCCATGGCTGATATAACAGAATAAATAATAATCTGCCACGGCCTGTGTCAAACATGTGCCTAGTGGCTTACTCATTCATCTATTCACCTAAGCCACTCCTGATCAAAACAAAATAAAATACCTATAAATAAACTTGTGGCTTTGAAGGTACTGTGCCAGAGGTTTGGCAAACAAATAGTCCCATTTTGCCCTCCAGATTGCCAAGGTTTCGGACAAATCAATGTTAGGAATTTTTATAACCCGACAAATAAATAGACGTTGTTAGCTTCAAAGGAAACAGAAACAAAACAAACCTTGACTTATCATTAACTGCAATCTTTATGAGAAAACATGTGTGTATCTGTTCATATTTAAAGCAAGATCAAATATAAACCTTAACTTGTCATTAACTGCAATCTTTATCAGAAAACACGTGTGTATCCGTTCATATTTAAAGCAAGATCAAATATAAATCTTAACTTGTCATTGACCGCAATCTTTATTAGAAAACACGTGTGTATCTGTTCATATTTAAAGGAAGATCAAATATAAACCTTAACTTATCATTGACTGCAATCTTTATGAGAAAACATGTGTGTATTTAAAGGATATTTAAAGGAAGATCAAATATAAACCTCAAGCTTAAATAAATTTAAACCCACCTAGACTGGATGCGAACTGGTGCCGCTAGAATCAAGAATATTAAAGTAGACAACACCACTACCCACTCGGCCATAATGGCTTCAATAAAACTGGTTCTGTATTAAAAGTGAACTAGGATTACCTCAAGTTTAGTAAAGTTCTAGTGTTTGTCTAAAGACTCCTTGTTTCCTAAACTACTAAACAGAAGGTTTCTTTTTATTTTCTTGTATGAGATAAGATTGAGATGCAAAATCTAAGTTTTTCGACTTCGGTGCTATCCCGGATCACTTTTGAAAATCCCCAAAACTGCTATATTTTGGCATTTTTTTTCTCTTCGGTTTTTCCCCTTTTATCCTCGAAGGAACAAGTTTTTGACAAAAAACATTCGATACATTTTTAAATTAGATTAAACATTTTACAATTTGAAACCAGAACAGGCTCAGTAGATCACATATTTTAGAGATACAGATTTTCTAATTTTATTTTCCATTTAAAATTATTTTTCATGGGCAATTGTCTTTTATCATCAATAACCTGTCTGATATGAGCCAGCGAAGTAAATATTTATTAGTTTTCATATCTTGAAGGAGAGGTTACGAAGAGGGGAAAAGGTTTGGTGGAAGAGTGTAGTCCTTGGGTTCCATGCTTCCTTGCTCCACATCACTAGAAATTACGTATCGATGTGTTTCTTTTATTATAACATATTAAAGAAAGGATAATGTTCCCACAAAAAAAAAAAAAGTGGCCGCATTGTCCCAAAATGGCATTCAAACATGGCTGAGTTACGACTTTGACTTCAGTTAGTTTTTCGGTCACTGAGATACAGTGACTGGCTTACTTTTGTCATAATTGGTCTTTTATTAAAGCTGGATAGTCAGCGTATTATAAAGCATAAAAAAAAAAAATTGGTCTTGAAAATAAAAAATACCAGTAAAGTCAATTTTTTCAAGTCGTTCAAACTAAAGTTGAAAATCAAGCAACATTTGTAATAAAACGGCCAAAAATAACGAAAAACATCCTGAAATAAAACATCTATACATAATACATTTATCTTTCTAAATCACTAATTAATTTTTAACATATTTGAAACACTTCTTCAGAAAATGCACTTAATCGGCAGAAAAGCGGCACTGGCATAGGTGCCTATGAAAAAGATGGAACGCAATAAATGACTCAGATCGTTCTAACTCACTCATTTTATCAATTATTTATAGCCATTCCTATATATATCCATGAATTCTACTCCTTCAAGATAATAACTTAAATAAATGTTTACTTCACTAACTCTTAAAAGGCAGGTTATTGAAGACAAACATGAAATTAGCTTAACATTTTCAAGTTTCGAAAATTTCATTCACTTCATGTAAATTTTTGTATGCATTTGATGTAAATGTTGGTTAAATAAATTTTTTATTTCAATTTCATTCTTCTGTGGTTGTGGAAAGTGTCCTCCCCTCCCCTCCTCCCCCCTCACCACTCCTTCAAAATGTTAAAATTAATAAATAATTACTTCGCTGTCTCATATCAGACAGATTATTGAAGATATAAAGACAACAGCATATGATCAAACAGGAAAAATAATTTAAAATTTTCAAATTCGAAAAATTTCCAAAACTTTGAAAACCCGAATCTCAAAAAGTATAAAAAGTTACCGAACCTGTTTTGGTCTTAAATTGTATCATATTTATCATCAAGAATGTGCACCGTCATGGTCAAAATGGGGAAAACCCTAAAACATAGCAGTTTTGGGGTTTAAAAAGTGATCCGGGGAGGGGAGGAGAGGAGGTCCAAAACTTGGATTTTGCATCTCAGCCACATCCCGTACAAGAAAAAAGAAGAAACCTCCTTCCCCCATTTGATGCAACTTAAGACCCTCCTTCGACATGACGCGATTAATGGGCTATCGTTAACTTTATAGTAGTTAGTAACTTTCTATTTTGCTAGTACTTAAAGTCAGTCCAGTCATTAGCAAACAAACAATTAGCTAAAAAGTTCATTATTGAGCTAAATATTATCATTTTTATGTAAATTGAAACAAAAATGATATTAAATGCCTTCTAAATCCTTACCTGGACATCACCTCCAAAAAAGACAACTACCGAATTGCTATCTTCACGGTTATACGGTTCCATGTAAACAATATCATTTGTTCTTCCTTGGTAGCCAGATACTTTAGACATCCTGATTGGACCACCCATTCTGAACTGGCTGAAACTAAAATGCATTCTCTATAAAAACATGTTATATTATATGCATATTGTATTATAACAACAGACCAACAGAAAATATAGAGAACAAATGAATATTTAATACATTTATATTAGATAATTTACTTGACCTAATTATATAAATTAAATACAGAAACAAAAATATTTGAATGGTTCTAAAGAAAAGACCTTCATAATTGGCTGTTGGATATAGTTACTACGTCAATAGCTGGACACTGACCCAAGCAAATCTGTGTTAGTTCTTTTTGGGAAAAGGAAAATCAACTTGGAATATAAAAGTCTAGACGATAAGTACATTAAAACAGCAGATTAATTAAAATATTTAGGAATGATCCTGCATAAAAATACAATTGGAGCACAAAAACACGAAAGCCAATGCTTCAATAAGAACCATTGATGTTTTTTGGCCAGTTCTAATTTTGAACTTTTGCAAGTTAGAAAAAATAATTATCAAACAGTTTTTGGTAATGACTTATATAATTATGTGATAAATGATAATTTTTATATTTAGCTAATAGAGATTGTTAGAAAAATAACCATTGTTGTACAAAATGTCACATTTAGGGCAAAGAGAATAAACATGTAAAATTGTTATATACGAGTGATTGTTATAAATTGTTATAAAATAGTGATATATTAATAATATTCATGTATTATACATATATGCATTTTTGAACTTTAAGATGGGCAAAAGAGTCTGAAACGTTAACAGCTTTGTGAATGAAAATGTAATAAATTATTTTTAATAAAATGGTTTAAAATAGCCCTCTTGAAAGAAAGTAAATAAGATTTAAATATAAAAACATTAATTATGAAGAAAAAATAAAATAAATAAATCTAGGGAATAATTTCAAAACACAAATGTTGAGCCTGATGTTGTAACAGGATTGTGTTACAAACTTGGAGAAAACAAAATTTCCTGACTTTTTTGGGGGGTTGAATTTCTGTATTTTTCCAGGTAGGTAACACTATTTTTTTTTTCAAACCGTTTTCTCATTTAGGAAATACAATTAAAAGAAGTGAAGATAAAGATAATATTAGAATAAATGGGATACAATAATTTAAACAATTTTCCTGTCAGTATTAGTTAGTATGATTTTATCACAACTACAGGACAATGAATACGAGTGAAACGGATCACATTTTTAATTTGAGGACAAGAGAAAAATACATAATATTAGCAAAAGTATCGAACCATTTAACTGTCAAATCCCAATCACTTTTCAAAGAGCATTTTAAAATAAAATTGTTATCATATTTAGGTGCTTTTTTTTGTTGGTTTACATTATTTCACATTTCTTTCAATGAAAAAAAAAGAAATATAAATTTGAAATAGGAAAAATGTTGTAATTTAGGACGTGCTCTAGTATTTTTTTCATTTTTAGAAAACACTTTATTGGGGCTGATGTGATTAAATTTATTTCCTCCCTTTTAGTACTCAATTTAATTTAATTATTGAAGAGGAAAAGGACATTTTTCAAAGAAGCATGAGTGGGAATTTTTTAAAAGTTTACTACCCAGAAAATTGAGATATTAAAATTTCAAATTGTTCAGTCAATACAGAAGAAACAACTTTTTAAAACCTTCAAATTTCTTTTAAGGGAATGATTTAATTATTTTATAATTTTAAATAGTTATGACTAAACAAGTAACTACAGCTAATAAACTACATTAGCTATAAAAGAGAGTAAAATTTCCTGTTTTTCAAACAATTACCTTTTCTCAGTTATCTTAGGAATTACAGGCCCGCAATAAGCCATACAATCTTAAATTGATGCCCAAGTGAACTATACTGAAGATGCAATTATCTGTTAACAGAGACAGACCTCAAGTTTACGGCACGGACTTATGGACCAGAAGATATAATGTCTAAGATTGTACTCAAAAGTCTTTCAGAGATCTATGCAGAGGGAATTAAAGACAATATGGTGGTATGAGAGAATTAAAGATAGGTCCAAAGGAAAAAATATATTACGTAAGGAATAAAAACCTGAGTTACCACAATGCATAAAATGGAAAATATTTTTATTCTGAAACATGGATGAATGGATGATAAACATCAATGAATTTACTATATTCCAAAATTTATTTGGCACTAATATAAAATTATAGATAACTATTAAGGGCAATAGGTAATAAAAATTATTAAATAATATTATACATTATATATACAAGTTAGAGACTGCGATCTGGTATTTAAAGAAAGGGCAAAGAAATGAACAAGAGAGAAAGTTTAGAATATACTGAAATATTTTGGTTCTAAGAGATTGGAAAAGAATGACGAAAACAAATTGTCGTTGGAAAACTGGTAAAGACACCTTAACCCAACTGAAATTTATGCCCTCCTCTCCCCCCTCCCCAGATTCTTATAATATGCCTTTATAAATGTGATATCCTCATAATGTTTTTGATTTTCTGATCAACATGGGAAAAAAAAAAAATACATTATAATGAATCCTCAATTTAAACAACTTACCAGTATTTAGACATGTAAGTCGCTGCCCTCAAAGATAACATCAACCCTTTCCCTGCCACTTTTGTTAATATTAAACCTAGATCCTTCAATCCTTCATTCGCCAACTACTAATTAGAAGTCAACAGAACAAGTAAGAATTAAAAATTACTGCTAAATATCTTCATCCACAATAATAATTTAATTTTATATTTTATTATCATGTATTATTTTTATAAAAGTAAGATATCACCTTTATCCACCTTGAAATTGTCAACTTCTTTTGACACACCATTAATTTTTTAATCATTTTCTCTATTACTTATAATAAAATTTATTCACCAAATTTTCTTGCAGGACACTTTTAATTTAAAAATAATGTTACTATCAGAAAATACTCTCTGTAATCGTCATGCATTTCATACTTGACTTAATTTTTATTTCAAAGTTCTTAATAACTGTTAATGCATTTACTTAATTAAGTTACTTTATGATATAAACTGCTGAACAAAAAAAATAAGGATTATAATACGATGGGTTGCATTAAAAAATATTCAATACAAAATATGGAAGCAATTTCAAAGAAGTTTTAATTATATTATATTAGACAAACATATAACCTTTTGAATTTCATTTTATTTATTATTTTGCAATCCTTGTTAAGTAACAAATAAGACCTAATTTTAGTTTCAGATCTGGGACAGTTAATAAACTCTTTCCTATACCTATACTTATGTGGACAGTTAAAAGACCCTTTTCTATACCAGCACTTATATGGACCTTAGATCTGGGGCAGAGTTAATTGACCCTTTTATAGAAAAGATATAGAAATGCACTTATATGGACTTAAGAAGAAATATAATTACGGAAGAGGAAAATAGACAAGATTTCAGTTATTTAACAATCAGTCAGGTTTATGTATTTCTCTGGAAAGAAAACTCGTTCCCAGCCGAACAATGGAACAATCACATAACATCTTTTAAAATCAACAGGTTTGACTGATGGCAGCAATTGATACTGCAGTCCTGAGCCTAAAATGCATATCTAAAAATTCTCTTCTGGGTATTTGGACACTTCTAAATTTTCATAAAATTTTAACTTTTCCCAAAATATTTTTTATTAGTTACTTAGTGTTTTGTTTTTTATATTTGAATTTCTTATGTTTCATAAGATCTATTTGCTAGGGTATAAAATCAAGTACTGGGTGTCTGCCAGAAACTTTTCATAAAATTATAAATCTTAAATATTGAAAATGAAATGAGAAAAAGTTTATTTATTACATATAATTATAATTTTCAACATATAATTTATATGTATGTTATTTATTATTTATTCATGTTAAATAAGCGAGGGGAACAGTTTAAGATGAACTCTCAAGAGCTACTGCGCGACAGAAGCCCGAAGATGAAAAGACCATGCATGTGCACTGTCCTGCCATGGCAGGAATATGTGTCTGGTACGGCATCAGTCCCCGGCATCCAAAAACGTTTAATCAGATATAATGATTATTTATGCACCTATCTTTACATCTATCCAACTCCCATTCAAATATTTTTTAAAATGACCATTTTAGAGACAATAAGATAGACAATTCGAAACAATCCCGGCCGTTTGGTAGTCGAGACGAATATCGGACCTAGGGGATCATAACCGTAGCTAACATGTTAAAATAATTAAGAAATAAAAATTATTCTTGAGATAAAATTTGTTAAACAGAAGTTTTTCAGTCATGCCCACGCACTGACCTAATGAACTGAACAATTAATCATTTTACATAATTGCTAAAATATATAACATTTTAAATACTGGAGGTCTTACAAAAAATTAATATTTTTTTTATAATAAATAAGTTTACAAGAAACCTATCCAACTTCTCTCTTTCATATACACATGCTTTAGATCAAAGTCTCTTAGTATTACTGAATATTATAAGGATCATTCAAATCTCCAATACATTAATTAGTTTCCATAACTTCAAATGTTTTACTATTGAGGCAGGTTTACATGTTTCCTTAATGCCATAAACACACACAAACACGTGATAAAAAAAAAAAAAAAATTACATAATTGTGTGAATGTGTTTAATATATTTCAATTTCATTTAATTTCTCTCTCTCTATGTGTTCATTTTCTTATTTTACTTTTCACAACCCTTTTTCTTTTATCTCTATTTTAGTTATCATTTGTATGTATATATTGTGTGAATGTTTAATGTTGCCCTAGTATTAATGCCCTCCAATGCGGCAGAATGTATTAGTTTTCAAATAATAAAAAATAAAAATAAAAAAAATTGTGTTCTAAATAATGTTTTGGTTAAAATTTCTTTAGTTTAAAAAATGAAAAACACTTAAAAATATTATTGAAAAATAGAGTAGGAACACGAATATATGTTGAGTTAAGAAGCAAAGCTAGCATGTTGGTACTTTCTGCAAGTTTCTTTCGATTTGGGCTGGAAAACTGATAGTAGACTGAACAAGCTTGACGGAAACAAGCTTGAGCTAAGCCAAATACTCCATTTACCCACTCGTGTTTCGGCATTGTTTGGGCAATATCTTAATCAAGACTTAGCACCGAAATTAATATAAATGGTTGTTAATTTACTATTTTGTAATGTTGGTAAACATTTAGACTTAGGGAAAAAATATAAAATTGTGAAAGAGGATAGAATTTAAAACCATTGCTTTTAGTTCTAATGTTTTTGTTAATTATTTTCAATAGTAAATCTCAGTAATTGATACAGAAAAAATATTTGATCCTCCTACAAAATTAAATGTTATACGTTTCAAGACATTCAGATTCTGAAAACTGAAAAAAAAAACAGTAAACTAATAGTATTTCAAAAATATCAAATGGTACAAAACATAACACTAATTAAAATGAACTAGGCATACGATTATTAAAATTTAAATCTACTCTCCTAAAAAATCAGAGTTTTTCACAAATAATAGGTAAATATTAGTTGATTTCATATCAACTTTGTTACAAGACTTGTATAGTGTTAATAAATTTATAAAGATAAAGTATGATAAGCCTTTTCAAAGAAATTGTCAAGTGTTATTTTAATATATCTTACCATATATTTTAATTTCATAATGTTGTTTTGTAGGTCTCAAATAAAAAAAAAATTATTACAACAAAATATATTCTAGTTAATTACCAACTTTCCGAGGATTTGATACAGATCACTACTGTATACTTTCTAAAATTTAAATGGCTATTATATTTTTCTGTATTCATTGGTATTCTAGATTTAAATATTGATTTTTTACATTTAAAAATTTACATGAAAAAATTATTCACCATTTAAGGTTTGTTTGTGTTTTTTATTATTTCATTGGACGATATGAAAGCTATTTAAATATATATATATATATTTAAGTTAGTAAACAAATAAATCTCAATTACAGACCATATATGCAGGTTATATAAAGTTATATCACAAAATCAACTAAAATCGGATAATTAATAAAATAATAATTAGTAAATTATTTATAAAGCCATCAGTAGCAATCGAGAATGGAGTTATGAAAGAGATTTTCAGTATGGAATTTACAAAAATATTAAATGCAAACAAAGAAAAGGTGCAATTTTAGCCAGGCAATGTGCCAAGTCAAATTCAATAAATAAAATATTATCAAAATTGTATTGATAAAGATTACTTCAATTTAAAACTTATTTTTACAAGTTAAAAAAAAAGAAGTTATTTTTAGACAAGAAGCAATCTTCCTTTTTCCGAGGCTAAATTTAGATTCTCTATCTCATCTAACAAGTGAAAAGCATTAAAAATTATTTAAGTATCAGGTTAATGTGAAAAAAAAAATTAATTTAAAAATAAAAATAAATAAATTGTAACAATTATGATTGGTGTAAAATATATTATTTATTAATGTATAAAATATAAACATAAACAATATAAAAATAACAAAATATTAAAATAATGGACCAAAGTCATATTTCTTAATGTACAACAAATGTCACCAAAGTGTCACTGGACCCATTTCAAAGTGACAGACATGGAATGTTAGAAAGATGAACATGAACCTGGAAACTGCTCATAAATCGGGGGAATGATTTCTTTGATAACACGCCACGGCTCGTAGCCTAATGTCTTCAAAGCAAAGCATTATGTCTTCTTTGAAATCATGCATTTTAACAGAGACTACTTCCTTCAAAAGATTATAACACATGGCGACTAAACCCATACCCAGTAGCAGGTAAACAAAATTGATGATCAGTTTGGTTTGATGGCCACTTTTGGACTCGATTATATTGGCACCTGGTACAAAATCTCCAAACCCGATCTTGGACAAACTGGTTACACAAAAGTAAGTGCTATCGAGGTAGTCCCATTTTTCCCATTCAGCAAACATTATAGTCCCGGTAGCAATGTAAGCTCCCATCACCCAAAGGCAAGCCGTCGAAGGAACGATTATTCTTGGCGGGGGACCATCATCATCGTAGTTCTTCTCCATACTGCACTGGTAACATTTTGTGTACACCCAGCGGAAAACAGAAGCCAGCACCTTTCCCATGTTCAAAAAATATAAAACATACAAAGGAATTCCAAATACAGCATACACTACAGTAGCGGCCTTACCAGATCCAGTTTTTGGAACCAAGTTACCGTATCCGATCATAGTAAATATTGACAAACAGAACATAAGAGCAGCTGGAAAAGACCAAGTTTCATCAATGGTTCTTCCGTCATAACCGTTCTTCACAGCATTAACAACATTCCTCTGAAAATCCATGATTATACCTGTAGCTTGTAACCTCCAGGAAGTGTGGTTGAAGACATTTTCAGTCGATGTTAGCTCCCAAAGGGCCAGGGCACAATTCCTCCTGTAGGAAATTACCATATCATATTCAGGGCGCTCCTTAGTCCCTTCGATACTTCGAAAACAAAATGCACCGACAACAGCGTAGCCGACAATGAGGCCCCCGACACCTACCTGAGTGCACATGAATGCAATCAACTTCCTGCAACAATCCCATATTTTCTCTTTTGGGTCACTGCTCACTGATGAGGAGGAGCCACGGCTCCTCACAGAACCACGATAACGTG